CATAGTTGTCATGGCGCATGGCGACATTCATGGCGATGGGCCAATATCGCATGGCGATGGCGATGGCGCATATATGGCATTGCCACAAGACACTAGCCACAGAATATTAATTTACTAATATTTGCACATGTATAAGGAATAAATTCTATAAAAAACAATAGATTACTTGATCTAAAAAGTGAAGTAGTAAAACACAAATGAGAAGTCACTCCAAATCCAAAACACTCTAAGGGTCCATAGTGCCAATAGTAAAACAACACAACTTAATCAAAACTTAAAAATAATTCAAAAATTAAAAGTGAAAAAAATATATTAAAGTGAATCACCTTTGAAAATATTGGCAGTATAATCAACTATAATACACAGTACTTTGCATTACTTAAAATAGATAAAGGACGAAAAGCTTTCAAAAAAAAGAAACAAAAAGTATACTGATGGGTTAAAAAAAGAAAAAGGAAGTACTTGGGGACCAGAAGAAGAAGACGAGACGAAGAAGAAACGATTGGGAATGGCGGTTTTTGAGCGTCGATTGGGAAGATTAAGGGGCTGGAGACTACTAATTAAAAGTTTAATTTCTTAATTGGGCCTAATTTTTTGGGTTTGGGTCGGGTTAATTTAAAAAGTGGGGCAAGAATGGCGATGGCGCAGATTTGGCGCTGCGACGAGTCAATCGGCCGCCACGACCCAATTTGTGGCGTTTCCGCTGCAGATCGCCAAAGGCGCATCTATGGCGCGCGCCATTTGCGCCATTGATAACGATGGCGAGGAAGAAACGGAGCAGCGGAAAATGGCCAGGTTGGGGAAGGGCCGAAGGGTTAGAAGCGAAAGGAATGGGATTGGGAATGGGAATGGGAATGGGAAACAAGGGTATAGCAATGGGAATGGGGGAATCCCATCCCGTTTCCCTTACCCTCGAACCAAACGCCCCCTTAGTTTACTCCGCATTGCCTAATCATCAAACTATTGAGTGCTATTCCTTTTATGTGGTTGAATTGTGATTTTTCATTTGTCATGATTTTTTATTTTCTTCATCTTTTTTTGTAACTTAGGCCCTCGTTTTGAATCAAACTCGCATTATCCTCCCGAAAAAATGTTTGTAATGCCCTTTATTGGCTCCTAAAAAATACGGAGTAAAAAACAAAAAAGTGAAACTTTTTTGCTAGGGTAATGTCCGACTCTCATATAAAATATCATTAGAGATTAACGTTTTGATAAGATTATCTAACGATATTGCTTAACGTTAACATTTTCAAAGTTAAAGTATACCATTTAAATTTTATTCAAAACATTAACGCTAATCGAATATGATGTTCTCAAACAAAGTTGAAGTACTCTCTCCCTCTCAAAAAAGTTATAGAGTATTTTTCATATAACCAACTTTTATCTATTTTTTAACAATTATTGTTACTCATTTGATAAAATAATATAATTTTATCATCTCGGTTTCTACATGAGTATTAAAGAATTGCATAAAAAAGTTTATAAAATAAGAGATGATAAAATTACACTTGTGGTGAGCTTTGCATTGACAGTTCGTGAGCTTTACACTTTGACCGCCCATGACCAATGGCCACAACTGATAACCCCCACTATCGTCGTGGACCGGTGGTTGAGCGGAGGTTGACTGGTGGTTGAATGGTAGTGCATTTTTTTAACTCTTTTTATTTAAAAAAAAAGTAGTGAGCTTTGCATTGTTCCTTGGTGAGCTTTCCATTGGCAATAAGTGAGCTTTGTATTGGCAGTTGGTGAGCTTTCCATTAGCAGTGTTGTGTGTGTTGTGTCATCTGATTGAAGCATGTCATCTTACCATAAGGTGTCATCTCTGTTATACCCGAGACCCGGGGTATAATCAAGTTGCTATTTGAAGATGGAATTATGGGATGGTGAAGAGGAAATGAGGGAGACAAAATATGGGGGTGGAACAAAGAGTTGTTTTTTTGGGTTTTTGATGAAAGAAAAGAATAAGTTCAAGAAGAAGAAATGGAGAGATATGAAATGGGAAGAGGTAAAATGAAGGGATAAACCAAGTTGGTGTTTAAGAGATATTACACACTCTTATCTTAACTTGGGGTTAAGTCTAGAACTTAATTAAGATATAACACACTTAATTAAATATCTAGAACCTAAAACTCACACTTAAGATAACCACTCTTAAGATATAGATTTAGGAATTTAAAT